GAGCTGAGGCCAGCCTGCAAGCTGCAGGCATTGATCAGAGGGTCAAGGAAGACACTTTCTGCTACTTCATCTGGGGCATAGGACCTTCTCACTTGACAGCCAAGGATACAGTTGGGAGAGCTGCCCCAGGGTTCTCAGCTGGGGCTGGACCTGAGTCAGTGTGAGAATTGGAGGACAGAACAAGCTTCTTCCTCCAGGGTGCCTGTCTTCAGGCACACACACGCTGCCTGTGTTCAGGCACACACATCCTTTGGTACCCTCCAGGCCATATCCACCCAAGCATGCTTACACAGCAAACTCCCGTGCATGGGTTGAAGTCTGCTCTCAGCCTTCTGGCAGCCTGTGCTCATCACCCAAGGTCCAAGCTCCTGGTGCCACCTGCTGTTTGGGGAGATCTCTGTGGAAGCTGAGCAGTCCCAGTCTTCCTGAAGCCCTCTAAGATGCAAGGAATTCCAGTTAACTTCCTGTGTATAGTACTTTGCAATTTACAATACATCCCATCAATAGTATCTCGCGGTTTTTTTTTTTTAATATAGCTTATCACTCCTCAAATGGCTACAACTGGGGAATTCCATCTGGGTCCCCAGGGTCCAAATACTCGGACCATCCTCCACTGTTTTCCCAGGTGTGCCAGCAGAGAGCTGTATGGGACGTGGTGCAGCCTGAACTTGAGCTGCTAGCCGTATGGGATGTGTGTAACAAACCGCAGGTTAACCCACTGCACCACAACACTGTCCGCCTATTCCCCTCCCCACCCCCGTCACAGTAGTATCTCAGTTAATGCTGACAATTGCTAGTAGGATAAGAGGTGTCTCGTGTGTTTGGCAGGAATGAACCCCTTCCATCTTCACCTGTGTAGATCGTCAGTTCTCGTTAGTCACAGTTCTCATTGCAACTTCACTTGCTGAAATAACTCTGAAACCAACATCCATGGTGCTTTCAGTTGATTTCAGATGTGCCCAGATGAGCTGGTTAGCATGTCCCGTCTTCGCACGAACGAGGGAATCATGTCCTCCTAGTTCACTCTGACCGTAAACCAGCGTCCTTCATGCAGTCATTCGTGGCCATGGGTTTTGTTTTGTTGTTTTGTTTTTTTGCATTATATGTACACACTTGTTAGAGATTTTGTAATTTAAAATGGTCCCTATGCAGATGTCCTGAGGGACTGTCTAGTGTTCTTTATTCTTTTTTTTTAAGATTTATTTATTTTTCTTGTTACAAAGTCAGATATACAGAGAGGAGGAGAGACAGACAGGAAGATCTTCCCTCCAATGACTCACTTCCCAAGTGACTGCAATGGCCAATGCTGCGCCGATCCGAAGCCGGGAGCCAGGGACTTCCTCCAGGTCTCCCACACGGATGCAGGCTCCAAAGGCTTTGGGCCGTCCTCAACTGCTTTCCCAGGCCACAAGCAGGGAGCTGGATGGGAAGTGGAGCGCCCATATAGGATCCTGGCACCTTCAAAGTGAGGACTTTAGCTGCCAGGCCACGCCGCTGGGCCCGGCTGTCTAGTGTTCTAAACTCCGGAAGCCTGGATGTGGCTCGTGGAGGAAGTGCATATGGGCACTCAGCAGGAGTTCCCGTGTTACCGGCAGTGAGTTCCGTGCTAATGAATAAAAAAAAAGTGTGAAATAAGGTATCTTTATACAGAAACATAGGTGTATGCTGCTTGTCAAAAAATATTATGACCACAGGCTTACACAGAGCCAAACTCTTTCCCAGTGGTTCAATGTTCCAGTAATTTGAGTGTTCATGGTCATTTTGTAACTACTGTGAACATGAAGAGCAGATTATGTCCCCATGTGTGTCTTTAACAGCAGACTAGAGCTCATGCAGATATGGGCCCACGTCACCTTACCTTTGAGCCATGTATCCCTGCAGCCCCTGTGGAAAAGAACCATGAGGAAGGCTACGCACCCGGCCAGCCTCGGGCTCCCTGCTTGAACACAGCCTACAGCTCCCACCATTCTCACTGCGCCGGAAGGCCACTCTGTACCCCCACCCCCAGGCTGAGGTGTTTCCTGAAGGGGTTTGGTTTAGGCTGCCGGCCAGGAGCCCACAGGCCCGCAGCCCAGCCCGCCTTCCCCTGAGAGCCTCTGTTTGATTGAGAAGTTGCCGTGGCTGCGGCAGCTCTAATAAAGGGAAAGCAGAGCCCCACAAGCAATGGCTTTGTCTCCCTCTACAACGTGCGATGGATTCAGTGGCAGCACAGTGCCCAAGGCCAGAGATGTCTTCCTTCTGTTGCTGGCCAGGCCCAGGGACTTGTCAAGCCCAAGTTAGTGCCTCGATCTCAGGCTCAGCTGCCAGCAGGAGCCTGGCGGCTCCCTGGCTGTGCTGGCCACAGGTGTGGCTGCTCGTGGCTGGGCAGTCTCTAAGGTAAGCCCTGGAGAGATGGGCGCATCTGGATTCTGGCCTTCTAGAGAGAGGAGCGAATTAGGGATTTGCTGCATGCTGTGAGGTCCGAGCTTGAGCATCCTACAGGCCGAAAGAGTGTGCTGCCTGCTTGACTCTGAAACCCCGCTGGAAGGTTCCTACATCAGTCTCAGCAACCCATGGCCAAGGGCCAGGCTGACCCACCACAGACACCCCTAGGATTGGCCAGCATCCTCAGCCTGTGAGGAGGGACACTTGGCAACTTGAAGCTGGGGAAGGTGAGAGGTCACAGGATAGGGAGACTGCTCTGGGCCTGGGCTGTGAACTCATTGGCTTTTGACTGCATCCAGGTCTCCTGAACCTCCCAACACTGGGCCAGCAGCCCGTCTTCTTCCTGCTGCCTCTCCAGAATCCCACGGGGACCTTAGTTTTATGCTTAGCTTTAGCATGTTACAGAAACCTTGGACAATTAGACACACAAGATGATCTTTCCTTGGATCATGTTGCCTGTGGCAGTCCATCCATTGCAGGCTCAAGAGTCCCTTCCCCTGCTTTACCTATACCCTGGGCCTTAGCCAGGTGCATCCAAAATGGGGGATACAGATACTGTGCTTTGTCCAGCTTACTTCTCCGATTTGTGGAGGTCTCCAGTCTGTTGTCAGAAGAGAAGGAAGGAGAGGCTTGTGTTATTATCTACTAGCACTGGCTGCTGGTGCCTCTGCTTTTTTTTTTTAAGATTTATTTATTTTTACTGGAAAGGCAGATACACAGAGAGAAGGAGAGACAGAGAGAATGATCTTCCATCTCTCCTAAGTGACCACAATAGCCAGGGCTGAGCTGATCCAAAGCCAGGAGTTTCCACCAGGCCTCCCACACAGGTGCAGGGTCCCAGTGTTTTGGGCCATCCTCTGCTGTTTTCTCAGGTCACAAGCAGGGAGCTAGAAGGGTAGTGGAAGCAGCTGGGACACAAACCAGTGCCCGCATGGGATGCAGGTGGAAAATTAGCCCATCAAACCTTGGCAGCATCCCTGAGCATCTTTCTTCTAACCCCTTTGGACTTGGCATACTCCTTCTGGTCCATACTTCATCTTCAGATGTCATGAGCTTACGTTTCCACTTGAAAGATTAGGAATAAGGTAGAAAGAAGCTGTGGTCTGCCACTTTCTCCTTGCTCAATACTTTCTTTGTCACTCTGGCCATCTCTGTAAATCTGGGGAGTTGTGTGACATACCCCACCCTCATCCCTTCTAACCTTCACACAGGCTCCATCCCAGGGCTTCAAGAAATCCCACGTATTTAGACATTCATTTTATTGCTTAATCGAGCTTGAAGCCATTTAAATTAATACAAATTTTTACATTTGGCAACAAAGGCTAATACAGGCTCCTTTAGCAGGGGAAGGAGACGGTCAGGAGAAAATCAAAGGACTTAGCTTGGGCCATTGCCTTTTGTTGTAAGGGAGATCCAGCCCAACAAGAGCCCTGGCCCTAAAGCTGGCCTGGCAGAGGACTGGTCAGTGCCGGGTCTGGGCTGAGGTCCTAAGCAGGGATGACCCCGGAGCCGGGGAGCACTGTGGGCATGCCAGCAGATTCTGGGATCCAGCCGCAGCCCATGGTCCCTGGGTCGATCAGACCCCTCAGGTGCTGCTTCCTGCCAGGGTCACCCCGTGCCTCTCAGCATCACTGCAGTCCCTGCCCACCTTCCGTCTCCCTCGCCTCACCTTTCCTCCCCTTTCCTACTTTCACACAGCTGCTTTAATTGCCTTCATTAAACATTCATTCATTCAGCTCTTCATGAAGAAAATAGTCTCGCTTCTCCCCGGGGATTGTCTTGCTCCCCAAAGGCATGTCTGATTTCTCAGAGTGGAGTTGGAGATGGGTGCTGAGGAGGGTGGGATGCACCCACCATTCCATCTGCTTCTTCTCTCACCCAAACCCCACCCGTACCTGTGCACACATGCGCACAGATAGCCTCATGTGGCGTAGGCTGCTCGCCAGAGTCGGGTGTATTACCTCCAGCACTTCTGTTCAAGTGAAGGGGAGGGGAGCTGAGAAGAATAGAGAGTGTCAAGTTGCTTTGTCAGCAACATCATCTATCAAGGAGGATTCTGGGGGCAGGCTTGTGGTACAGCAGGTTAAACCACAGCTTGGCACGACAGCATCCTATTTCCAAAGTACAAATTCAAGTCTCCACTCATAATCCAGCTTCCTGCTAATGCATGCTGGCAGGTGGCAGATAATGGGTCCTGCCACCCACGTGGGCAGCCTGAATGGCATCAACAGCAGCTGTTGCATACTAGCAGGGAACCAGTGGATGGAAGATATCAAACTTTTTCATGCACTCCCTGTGGCTCTGCTTTCTAAACACACATTTAAAAAATTTTAAACCTGCCTAATTCTGAATGTGACAGGCTCCGAACAGTTTGACTTCCTTGCAGTGCTCACGTGAGTTGATCTAGAAGGATGTGACGTTTCTGAGTTCCAGCTTGTACTGCACACCGGATGCAGTGACAGCAGCTGCCCACGGCCCGGGAGCCCCCGGTGCCACTCTTCCTCCCTGGCAACACTGAGCGCCTGCACACACAGGCCTGCCACTCCCCGGCTGACAGCCTGTCTCTCTGTCCCCAGGTGGAGGTGGAGGTGGAAAGCATGGACAAGGCCGGCAACTTCATCGGCTGGCTGCACATGGACGGTGCGAACCTGTCCGTCTTGCTGGTGGAGCACGCGCTGTCCAAGGTCCATTTCACTGCTGAGCGCAGCTCCTACTACAAGTCGCTGCTGTCTGCTGAGGAGGCCGCCAAACAGAAGAGAGAGAAGGTAGGAAGGAGTGTGGGCTCGGGCCCTGCAGCGCTCTCTCCAGCACTGCCCGTGCGCTGCTCTGGCTGGTGTTGCTCTCAGACCTCATGCCAGGGAGCTCAAATCCCATACCAGACAAGGGACGAGGGCAGAACTGCCAGCTCAGGTGCCCTGACTGTCAAGCCTCCTCAAGTGGACCTGGAGCAGGAAGCTACCCAGAAGGTGACCTTGGAGCATTGGCAGCAATAGCTGGGGGTCCAGTAAGGGGGTCCTTAGCATGTCTCCCCCAAGCCAGACCCTTCTCCATCTGTGCGCCAAGAGCCCTGGGTGGAATTTTCCTCCCTTAGCCCTGCAGGGAAGTAGCCCCAGGAGATGCGTAAAGCTGTTAGGGCGGCAGATTTATAGGCCATCCGTCTCCACAGACACTGCATGGAAGCAACAAGGAGGGTGGGCCAGAAGCAGCTTTGGGAAACAAATTGACGATTAAGGAACCCTATGGTTTGGGGTGGGAGCTGGGCTCAGCACCCCCGACACTGGCCTGTCTCCATTGACTTATGGCCCAGCCTGATAATGGGGATAAATCAGCCGGCCACCAATTTGTCAGGGCTTCTCTGAGCTTGAGGGGGATTTTGTGGGACAGCCTTGCTGAGCTATAAATTTGTTCCAGGAATAAACGTTGCCTTTCCCATGAGGCGGCCATCTGGCTTGAAGCTCTCCTCCCAGAGCTGAGGCCCAGACACCTGCTGGAACCTTCTCCCCAGCCCAGAGAAGTCACACCGCCCCCTCCCTAAGCTCCAAGGGCTGAGCCCCGAGAGTGGCCTGGGGGCTAGCGCAGTGGCCATGCCATCAGTGGTGGAAGAACTCCAGGGAGAGGTGGCCTAAACTCTGGAGAAGCGGGTTCTGACCCTGGACCTGCTCGTGTCTCACCTGACTTCCCTCCGCTCCTGTGGGAAGGGGTCATGTGCTTCCTCTTGGGTTTCCTGCTTGTGACAGCTGAACTTAGGACTACTGCCACTGTGTCCCCTGCTGCTGCTGGGAGCTGAGGGAGAGGCCGGACCAGGGCTTCCTGTGAAAAGGCTGAACCTTCACAGATTAGCTGGCCGCTGGGGTTGGTGTGGCAGCACCAAAATGTGAGAGCGCCTTTCTGGAACATTTCTTTGCTGGTCTTTGTGCTGCCACCCAGCAAGTGAGGCTTGAAGCTGTCTCCTTTGCTCTGCTGAGTTCAGAAACTGCCAGAGGGGTCCCCGCTAGGGCGAGGAGGGGAGTCTGGCCAGAGAGAGCACGCTGTGTTCCTAGCATTAGTACTCCACTGTGGGTTTGACGGGGAACTCGGCTCATCGTTTCACTGATGCCAGTTGATGATGCTGAGGAGTAATTACTAGAGATTAATTGCTTACCCAGGCTGCATGTTTTTATGCCAGTCCAATTAAAATGCAATACATACCTCTCAAGGCAAGACTTGCCCACCTCCAGGGTCCCTCTCCTGCAAATCCCTGTCTTCCTCAATGGTCGTGGGGGACCTGAGCCAGATTTCCTTCTCCTGGAAAGAAAGATGGCAGGGCTGCTCTGGGAGTGGCACTGGCAGAGCTCTATAGCAGCCCACAGTGTCAGCTGGATTCAGGGGTGGCGACAGCTACAAGACAGGTGTCCCCTGAGGACCTTAGGGGTCCCCAGCCTGGCCCCACAAAGGCTGCCTTAGCTGTCACTAGAGCAGGGCAAGTGGTGGTGTTAGCAGCAGGATGCACACCCACCCATTAACCAAGGAGACGTGACACGGAGAGGTGGAAAGGCCGGAGAATGTGGGCGTCTGTGGGGAAGGCGATGATGCATGCATGCCTGGGGATCCTGACAAGGCTGATCTCCCAGCTTGGAGGACTTAGCCGCCTTTCCACTGGGTTTAATTGCTCTCTGTGCCCTGTGTACTCTGACAGGACCCTCCGCTTTCTCTGCAGGAGACTGATGGGGGGCACCCCTTGCCTGTTCCTCAGGGGCCTGGGCACCCTGAGGAGGACCATGCAGGGAGCCTCAGATGGCAGACACCTAGACCTTCTCTCTCTCTCTCTCTCTCACACACACACACACACACACACACACTTCTGTGCAGCAGGACCAGGGATGGGGCTGGACTGGCGGCCATTGATCGCTTTTATTGAGCTCGGCTTCCCTGCTGTGGCCTTGCAGGCCTCCGCCACTGTGGCCCCATGCCAGTCCTACCCTGGAGCCTTGTGAGCAGCAGTATTAAATAGGAGCAAGAAAGGCTTCCAGACAGTGACTCCTCAGCCCACACTGCCCAGCTCCTGCCAGGAAGAGGCCCTGGGACTCCCCAGGGAGGAAAAGGAGGAAAGAGAAAAGGCCAGGAGAAGGCCTTACTCCTGACAAGTGTGCCTGTGCTTGGCCTAGAGGCAGCTGCAGGGGACCAGAAGGAGTGCCCGGATGGAGAGGGGGCCCTGAGCAAGCCTGGTGCATGCCTGGCAGGGCAACCTGCAGCAGCCTCCAGGACAAACGCCATTCCCTTGCCCATTCACAACCCTGGTCAGTAGGCAGGGCCTTGGAAGGCTCACGGCGACCTGCCCCTTCCTCAGGACAGGGCTTCCTCTGGGCCTCTGCTTGGATACAAAAGTGACGCTCATCCACAGCTTCACCACAAACCCTGCCACAGTCGGCCTGAGCGGCCCCCCTGTGGGTATCCAGGTGGGCCTGCAGCAGTGCAGCCCTGGCCCTGCTACCTGAGCTGGCTCACCTCCTTCTGCCCCTGGCCCCTGCCCTCACCATGGCTGCAAGGGCTTTCCCCCAGGCCCTGCCTCTGTGCATCTGGGTGCAGTCCCTATTCTTCGGGTCCTGTGCTTTGGGGTCTCTCATCATCTCCCCAGGAGCTTATGAAGGGGAGCATCCATCATAGGCGTTCCCTAGGACCAGCTTCTTGGCCAGGATAGGAGCTGGGAGGGCCCTGGGTTGGGATTAGCATAGAAAGGTGGCGGATGTCTGTCAAGTAGGTGTCTTGCTAGTATCTGTCTGCTCGGAGCCTGGACTGGCCCTGTCAGCACAGGCAGAACACACCTGGTTCTGTGGGGTTGAGGGAGTGCAGTGACCAACCGCCCTTCCCAGTTCAGTGGCCCTCTGCCACCCAGCAGCCGTCCAGGCAGGCTGCATCTCCCTGTCAGGCTGGCTGCCAAGCCGCAGCAAGAGCTGGCCTCTGCCATCCCCTGTGAGAAAAGAGGGACCTTTCTGGCTCCCCCTTCATCCCTGGTTCTGAGACAGAGCCCTCCTCCCACAGGCACTTTCTCCACAGCTCCTATGCCGGATACCTTGCTGCATCTTATCACTGTGGGTGGTGCTTTACCTCCTTCCTGCCCAGGGAGTTGCGGGGCTTTGTAGGGGAGAGCGGCTGGCCCTTCTGCTAGGGGACCATCCCAGTGGCCTTGATTGGCAGGCGTCCCTGACCTCAGGCCCGCTGCCTACCTGAGCCTGCCAGGAAAGAAGCTTCAGCCCCTCCCCCAGGAAGAAACCTGCGGCTGTCGCCCGAGGGGATGACTTGAGGCATCACGTTGTAGTTAGCAGTTTCTGCTTGCACCCTGTCAGTGCCTTCCCTGTGCATCAACACCACGCAGGGATGCCTGAGCCCAGTGCTGGCAGGGAGGGGAGCTGGAGGAACAGTGAGGTACAGCGGAAGGGCCTGCAGTGGTCCGGGGCTCTCAGGGCTCTGAGACAGAGGCCTCGGGGAGGCTGCCACAGCAGGGTGCTGGGCTCAGCTCCAGCTCCTCTGGGTGGTTCTGACCCCCTGGGCTCTCAGAGGCAAGGCAAGTCCCATCAATCGATCGTCCGGGCGACAGGAGTCCCGAGGCCCTGGAGCCCGGGTGTTTAATGGAATGGCTGGCTGAGTAAGACCCTCATCTTGGGAGCTTCCAGCAAGCAGGGCAGGCCCAAGAGGGAAGCCGCAGCCTGCTGGGGACGCAGGCCTTGGGATTGGAAACGTCTGTCTCTTCGTGGGGAGATCACAGACTAGAGAGCCCTCTCCCACGTGGGGGATCAGTCTGTTGGCAGGAGGCCTGGGGGTGGTGGAAGCAGCTGTTTGTTCAGAAGTCTCCGGGTGATGGGCACAGCTGGTGGAGTGTCTGGATGCTGGGAGGTAGAAGAGTAGAAATTTGGGAGCTAAGTGGGCTAATAGGGATGTCTCAACCCTGCACCTGCAGCCCGCCCTGCGCAGTCCTTGGGTTAGCATTCCTTTCAGTTCGCGGGCCTTGCCTCTTGTTCCCGTAGAACAAAGGTAGAAGTGCAGCCTGAGTGTGACCAAGGCCGGCCCGCAGCTCAGGCCACCAGGTAGATCGGGGCAGCGTCATCCCATGGTCAACCGTGCAGAGCCCCAGACAGTTGGCCAAAGGCAGTTGGCAAGTTGAAGGGCAGCAGTGACCAGAGACCCCCCTCAACCCTCTACATACAGCCTTTCCCGCTGCCCAGCACAGCCCAGTCCATTCTAGAAGGCCATATGTAAGTCAGGGATCATGCTAATGGCTAGTCAAAGAGTGCTGTGAGCATAAAGTGGAGTAAGCTGTAAGAATGTTTAGAACCGCATCTGGCAGCAGTATGCATGTAAGTTTCCGGCTCTACTGTTATCACCCCCTATTCCTTGTGCACGTGTGTGTGTGTCTGTGGGACCCATGTGAGATCTGGTGGCCTGCACCCCCTCCACTTCCGCCTGCTCAGCAAGAGAGCCACCTCCTCCCCCTGCTCTGCCAGGCCTCACTACTTGGATAATCTCCTGGCTGTGGGATTGGACTTGACGCGCTGTCACGTTGTATCAGCTTCCCAGCCGCTGTAAGCCTCACAGTGCAGGGCCTGGGAAGTCAAGGAGAGAACAGGATGCAGAGGGGCTCACCCTACTTCTAAGCTGGGTCCTGACCAACCCCCCAGCCTGGAACCTCAGCCCCAAGTGCTTTAGGAGTGCCAGTGGCCTGAGGAGTTGAAAAGAAAACCTACTAGGCACCGTGAGGAAAGACAGTGGAGAGCTAGGATACCACAGATGCCTGAGTGGGGAGTCCAAAGCCAGGGCTGTTCTTTAGAGAGGAGGTCCTCATGCCCAGGTGTGTGTGAGGACCACCTGGAGCCTGCTGGGGTCTTCTCTTGTTGTCTCTGGCACCCTCATAAGGAGTCTTAAGTTGGTGGTCCTGGGGTGGGACCTGCATTATAAATGAATGGCCCAATTGCTTTGTATACCTGTGGTCTCTGAGAACCCCTTGGTCAGAAGCACTGAAGAGCGGGCTCGAACCCATTCTGAGCTACTCAATGGGCACCCTGTGCTCGCTCACTCCCCTGTAGGTGACCCTCTGGCTAACTGTCCCCCAAGGCTCCTTGCGAATTCCCTTCCTTGTCCCCTCCTCCCGTCTGCAGGTCTGGGCACACTACGAGGAGCAGCCTGCGGAGGAGGTGGTGCCCGTGCTGGAGGAGAAGGAGCGTTCCGCCAGCTACAAGCCCGTGTTTGTCACCGAGATCACGGACGACCTGCACTTCTACGTGCAGGATGTGGAGACTGGTGAGTGTCGCCACAAGTGGTCCAGCTCGTCTCTTAGCCAGGGGTGGGGGACCTTTGTCTGCAATGCTCATGCTGTTGCCCACCCCCGTCCTGCTCTCTGTGCCCTCCTCCCTCCAACCTCCGTGGGAGCAGGTGTAGCCTAGTAGGCAAAGCTGTGAGGCCCAGAAAGGCAGCATGTTTTGTCTGGGCAGTGCCCCAGCATCCTTAGGTAATGGCTTTGCTTCCAGACACCTGTGTGGGACTGGGTCGCACAGCCCTCAGTCTGCCAACAAGCCCGACTATGGGACGGCAGAGCAGCCAGCTGCAATGCATCCCCTTTCCTCCCAGCTTCCTGGGAAGGCCAAGCCAGGAGCCTGGGCTTCTCCGCCTCTGGAGGTTGATGTGGCCCAGAGTGGTAGCCAGTTGCCATGGCAACAGGCAGCCCTCTAGGGGAATTCGTCCCCAGCAGTCTTTCTAGAGGAGCCTCTCTTGCCTGCTGCCCTCGGGGTTGTGAACCTGCAGAGGCTCGGGTCTCCTAGGCCGGCATCGGAGGCCCGCTGGATGGTGAGACAGCTTTGGCAGCATCTGCCCAATTTCCCACCTCCATCCTCTGCGCACTCTGCCTCGTGACCCTCCTCAGCTCACTGCCATCCTGTTAGGGGAAACAATTTAGCTGGGAGCAGAGGAGAGCGCTCTTAGAGCCGCCTCTGGGTGCGAGCTGCGAAGTGCTTGTAGAGGCTGCGGTAGGTACGGGGCGGGGGACAGTACTGAAGCTGTGGCCAGCGGGCCCGGGAATGGCAGGATGCGGTTCTGCCCAGCTACACTCCCGGATCGCCGACAGCCTAGTCTCTGCTACTTCCCCTCTAATGATATTTCCCAGGCAGCTGCTCCTGTGGCAATGTCATCTCACCAGGAAGAACTTGACCGTTTGTGGCCCTGGGCTGGCTGTGCCTGAGAAGGCAAGCTGCAGAGCTGGAGCTGATGAGCCTGTGGGACTGGGTCGCTTGAGGTCAGCTGCAGTCCCTGTGGGAACTGCTGTGGAAATGAACCCAGAAAGGGGGGCAGCCAGCCACCAGGTCTGCATGGTGTGACCCAGAAAGCAGTCCTTCAGTGGGTGGTGACCTAGGTAAAAATGAAAGTTCTCTTTGAGCAGAAGAGCCAGGCAGAATGGCCCTTTAACACAGACCCTGCCTGGAGCACGGCAAATGCCAGGCAGGCACCACCTGGCCACTGGGTTCCACCTTGAGCAACAGCAAAGCCCTCGGGTCCCCAAAGGCAATGCTTGGGGGCACCAGGTTTCTGGTGACTGCTGTGCCTTGGCATGCTGTCCTGCCAACTCTGGGAAATGAGGGCACTTGAGTGAGTGGCATCTAGAGCAGAAGCTGAGAAAGCAGAAACAGGGACAGCCACATGCTTCTGAGCTTGGTGGATGAGAGGGGAGTGGGACTTCCTGGCAGGCCTCCCAGCAGGTGGTGGTCAGCTTCAGAGAGAGCGCCCTGCCCGGAGGTGGCTGCTTCTGTGCCGGGAAGCCTTGAGACCCACAGCTCTCCTGAAGCCTGCCATCCTCTCGGCCCTGTCCAAGCCACCCTTGGGAACCTCTGATAAAAGCCCAAGCCTGCTCTGCAGGGCCCTCCCTTGGGCCCTTGTTGCTGATAGGAGATTAAGTCCTGCTTCCATCACCTCATGCCATCTTGGAGTCGAGGAGCGTATACCTGTATCAAGGGCTGCTTAGTCCTTGAAGGTCATCGTCCGTGGGCAAAGTCTAAAGAGGATCCCAGAGGGTTGACCACTGGGCAAGGGCAGCTGTTGTACGGCCCAGTCTGTGGATGCTGGCACGGTGGCCACATGCGCATACCCCGCGATCATTCTCAGGGTGGTTAAATTATTAAGCACACTGCACACACTTGGGATTCTGCTAGACTGTGCACTCTCAGCAGAAGCTACGTGGCCACTGCGTGTGCCCCAAGGATCCCACAGTGTAGTGGCAGAAACAAGCACAGACCAGGAACGGAGATGCTGGTTGTGGCCAGTATAACAACAAGAAACATGTCTTTTGCACCTGTTACAACCTCGTGGCATTGATCCCTGAGGATAGACAAGCCCCACTCTGAATGCACACATTCACACTTACCCTCCTCACCACTGAGCGGGAAAGGGACCAAAAGGACCCAAGAAACCAGGCAATGGGGAGTCTGCCAAGTCGGGTAGGGTGGGGAGGATGTGGTGGAAGAGGGTAGGGGAGGAACCGGGGAGGTCTCAGGTATTGCCAAAGCAGAGGACGAACCCAGCCGAACCAAAGTCGGAGTGGTGAGGGAAAGATAAGGCAGGGAGAAGGGTGGGTAGGTGTGCTAGACCAGGGGGTGGGACAGTAGAGGTGTCACGATGCAAGGGTCAGCACGAATCTTGCAGGGCAGCGAGGGTCAGAGTGGTGAAGGTGGAACATCCGAAGCCTGTGGACTTTGCTTCTGGAATCCCCCTGCCCCCACCCCCAGCACTCCTGGCTCTGGTTCTAAGTCCTCTTTCCTCATCCAGGGCCACAGTAGGCTCATCCTTCATCCCCACTGTTACTCCTGGTACACTTTGGGTGGTGACTCCTTTTGGTCAAGCCCTCTTTGGTCTGGGTAGGACTGGGGCACATGCTGGCACTCCTTTCCCCTCAGAGCAGGCCACAGGTCCTTGACCTTGCTCTGCATCAGCCCATGTTCTCCACCTCCTGAGCCACAAGCAGAGCCTTGGGCATGCTCTCCAGAGCGCCACAGCCCTGCAGGTGCCTCACCAGCCCCACTTACTCAGAGAGATGGCAGGAAACCTGTTCAGAAAGACCAGGATGGACTTAACTGCGTCGACCAGGGCAGAGCCCATGCTGCAGTGCCCTCACCACCCAAGCCCACCCAAAGAAGGGACACAAGGCACACAGGCCATCAGGTCTCACTGCCCTCTTCCCTGACAGGCACCCAACTGGAGAAGCTGATGGAGAACATGCGTAGTGACATCAGCAGCCACCCACCTGTGGAGGGCTCCTACACCCCCCGCCGGGGGGACTTCTGCATTGCCAAGTTTGTGGATGGAGAATGGTAAATCCCTTGGGCCAGTGGGGTAAAGGGTCATAAAGAGGAAGGGCTAGCAGGCCCCACTACCAGAGTCCAGGCCTACAAAGCTGCCACCAGCTCCATCTCCCCTTGCTTCCCTCTGGGTGGTGGCCTACCAGCTCTCCAGATCTCGGGATGTCCCTTGTCACTCTACACAGGCAGTCTGGGGTCCATGCATTGGCACCTGAGCCTCCCTTACAGTTCAGCAGCCTCCAGAGTGTGGAAGTGGCATCCCACCCTCAGGAAGTCCTAGGGGCTGCACCAGGGTGCTCCAACACAGGAGGGATGTTGTTTGAGTGGGTGAAGTAGTGGCTGGGACACAGCAAGCCCAGACCAGCTTCCTGGCCCCTTGCCCCAGTTGTCTGGGACATGAGCAGCAGCCTTCACAGGCTAGTCACTTCCGTGGGGTCTACCAAGGGTAGGGCCTGTGGCGCTTCCCAGGGTGACGAAGTGACTTGGATGTGTCCCTGCTGCGGCCTCCCAGGCAGAACTGCCGGCTGATTACAGCTGCTGCTCAGTGTGCTGGGTTGCAGCAGCAGACTTCAGTCTAGTCAATAGTCTTGTTGTTTTATGCCCCAAGGGTACATTAATCTGCTCTACATGCTCCCTACTCCTCGTCTACCCCTCTCCCAGTGAGGCACTGACTGCATTAGACAGTGCCCACAGCACCCTAAGCAGGCCTTGATGGAATCATGGCTGCTTGATAGCCTGGGTGGTGAAGCAATGTGCCCCCTGCCCTACCACTGCCAAGGCTCCAGGGAGACCAGAAACCTGAGCTCTTCCCATGATGGCCCTGCAGGTACCGTGCGCGAGTGGAGAAGGTCGAGTCTCCAACCAAAGTGCACGTCTTCTACATTGACTACGGCAATGTGAGTGTCGGGGCGCAGGGTGGGAGCAGTAGGCACAGGAGTCTCTAGGTCAAGTCCATACGTGCTCTCAAAGCTGACATGACAACCATGAGCATCCAGGCACCTCTGCTATTTATACTGTGAAACAAGCCTGCACGCCTGGGTGAACGGACAGAACAGGTGTCTGTGAACTCTGACACTACCTGCATCTTGGACTTGAAGGATGAGCACTTAGGCACATCATGGTTCCTTTTCCACCCAGTATCTCTGAATAATGAGGGCTTCTGTAACAGCTTTTATATCCTGGTGACTGATGCTCACCAGCTGTTTCTCCCCTAAGCCCAGGCTGCTGGCAGAAGACAGTCCCTTAGGCTGGGCCTGGGAAATCTCTGCAGACAGAGCAGAGGAGAGAGAAGTATCCTTTGGGAAGATGATGCCCTGGGTTGTCCTGTAGCCATCTGCTTTCATCCTGTTTTATCCTCAGGGGCTGGAGCATGCTCCCAATCAGCCACCTGGGGATACTCAAAGGCCCTGCCATGTTGGGGTGACCCACGCCCCTGGGACAGACATGTGTTTCAGATGTGCAAGGAAAAGAAGTCCAGTTAACTATGTGGAGCCTAGTCCTAGGGCAAGGAGGGGAGCTCACCACCTCTCAGGACACCGCTGACCCAGTGCTGTCTCTACAGAGAGAGATCCTGCCACCCTCCCGTCTGGGCACCCTGCCGCCCGCCTTCAGCACCCGCGCGCTGCCAGCTCAAGCCACGGAGTATGCCTTTGCCTTCATCCAGGTGCCCCAGGATGTGAGTAGAGCTGTCACGCCCCTGCCTCTGTCTGCACTGGGTGACTGTGGGGCCAATACCTAGGGTTCTGTTGATAATGGACTCAGCAGCAGGAGACATAGTCTGGATTCTGCCAGTCTAAGGGAGGGGGCACAGACAGGTGCAACTTCAGGACATCTCAGCAAGTGTGCTCTTTCACAAAGGAGAGCTAAGCCCCTGCCACTGTCCCTCCTCCTGAGGGTGCCGACACAAGAGGCTGTCAGGACCCCAGGAGGATGGTCTCATCTGCCCCAGCCCCCAGGACGCTGTCAGAATTCCACCCCAAGTCATGACCTGGCTGTGTGTGCACCGGGCAGCAAGGTGGGGAAGACTGGGAATGACTGAGAGTGATTGAAGCAGTCTGAGCGAGGAACTGTGGCAGCTACAGCAGGGCTGTTCACATGGGGATGGGGCGAAAGGCACAGCGCCCAGAAGCAGGTGGCAGCAGCACGGGGTGGGGTGAGAGAAACAGGACTCGGCTTGGTCTTCCTGTGTGTGCTTGCGGCACTGTTGGCTAAGGTGGGATAGGGGAGGGTGGATTCTGGCTGGCAGGCCCGTTTCCAGCTTGGAAGTGAGGTTAGACCTAGAATGATGAGCAGGAGGGACTAAAACCATGGAGCGTTCTGACTGTGCCATGTGTGCCACACCGTGCAGGGGTGGCGGGCCGAGGCCAGGAAGCAGCCACGATGAAAGGGTCCGTGCCCAGGGCCGCTGGTGTTCCTCAGCCAGCAGGAGGGAGAGCCCTTTTGCAAGGTCCCAGGTCCCCAGGAACTCAGCCTGGACCCGGTAGGGCTGCCCAGAGTTTCAGCTTCGAGGAGATGCCTGGTGCCCTGGGCCTGTCCCCAGATGCAGCAGCAGGCGGCGGAGCAGGGCTCAGCACTGAGGCCTGCTAAGGAAAGGAAAGCCCAGGAATGATAACAGCAAGGGCCACACAGTGAGCCAAGAAGTCTGCGGGGATGGGCCCGGTTAACAGGCAGGAGGCGAGATGGGCCAGGACAGCAAGTGCAGGTTTATTCTGGACAGGAACAACCACTTTCCATTGGCGGGATGGGCAGGTGGGTGAGGAAGCCAGAGAAAGGGAGGAGAGCTGTTCTGATGCAGTATTGGGATGGGGAAGGGAGTGTCCCTCACACCCAGGACCTGGCTTTTCCCCTCAGGAAGATCCCAAGGAGGAGAGTTGCAGATCCCCCTCCACCAGCACTGGGCCAACTTTCTGGGTTCCCACAGACCCCGGCCCAAGTAGCTATTGCTTAGTTCGTTTCATCCCTCCCCCTGACCTGGGCATGTCCCTCTGCCAGGAGGATGCACGCACGGACGCCGTGGACAGCGTTGTGCGGGACATCCAGAACACGCAGTGCCTGCTGAACGTGGAACACCTGAGTGCCAGCTGCCCCCATGTCACGCTGCAGTTTGCCGACTCCAAGGGCGACGTGGGACTGGGCCTGGTGAAGGAGGGGCTGGTTATGGTGGAAGTGCGCAAGGAGAAGCAGTTCCAGAAAGTGGTACGTGGGGTATGGTGCAGGCCACCTCCACTCCCCACCATGAACGAGGAAGGGAGTCAGGGCCCCATCATCCTGCTACTCCTGCTGGGGAAAGATAATGGCTTGGGTTTGCTGTTTAAAAAAAAAAAAAGAAACACAAACAAAAAACTAATTACATCCCAAATGAATTGGCTGCAGGTTTGGCTGAGAATGCAGCTGGAAACCAGAGCAGAAAGTTTCCCAGTACCCGTGCCCCCACGTGACAGGCTTAAGGAGAGGGTCAGTGCTTGGCTTCTTGCCTTGCCCGCTCTCATTCCATGCTGACACACACATCCCACGTCCAGACCCACCTCCCAACTTCCAGTGCCACCTGGAGCCACATGTGCACACCAAAGGGTCAGACGGCCCTGTGCCACAACGCCCCTGCACTCTGCTTGGAAAACCCACAGCAAATGGAGCCTTCACGAGCCAGACTCTCCCTTCTCAGCTTGCTTCTCTTCCTGAAGAATTGGTGCCGGCCAGAGTCAAGCAGACACCCCCACTGCTCTGCTATCCGTGGCTCAGGCTGGGCGATGGAGGCAAGGCAACCGCTGGCTCAGCAGCGTACAGACCCGCCTCCCTGCCTCGCCTCTGAGTGAGCACCAGCCAGCCCCACTTGCCTGCTGAACCACGTCCATGAGTCCTCCCCAAACCAGCTGGCGAGAAGCTCAGGCCCCCCACTGCACTGCCTGCTTCAAGGCAGCACCCTACTCCTCTCTGCTCTCCTCCTCCTAGACAGGGCTGGACAAGGCAGGCTGGGAGGGCCAAATGCTCCTCCCATTACACCGCAGCCCCACAAAATGTGTGGCTGCTTTGTGGATGCGTGGCCTGGTTGTGAATAGAGATGATTCCGTGGGAATTGCTGTTGAGTCTTAGGGAGAGCCAAACCCTTGTCCCTTGCTGAGGAACCCCTGTGTCTCAAGATGGCTCCAAGGAGACTAGAAACTCCACGAAGAAAGGGAGATATTGATGTCCCTTGGATAAGGGTGCCCTAATGTCTTTGGCATCTAGAAAATTCCTTTTGCCCCACTGCCTGAAATACCCCCAGCATGTTGATTCATGTCTTCATTCTCATTCATTGAGGAACTGCCACACATCCATCAGTAAGAGACTGCATCCGTGCTCGATGGAGCTTGCGCCCAAACACTGACACAGACGATGCAAGTGAATGTAGTCCCCGTAGAGAGAATGCAGGTGATAAGTACAGTGGAAATGGAGCAGTGCATGTTTCCCAGGTTTTGGCCTGAGTAATCATGATCAATTTGAACAGATTTTGTGATTCCCTGAGAAGGGACTCTGGCATCCAAAGGCTCAACAACTGGTAGGGCAGGACACAGCCAGCGCCAAACCCTGGGTGCCTTCCAGGTGTGAAGGGAGGCAGCAGTGTGGGAGATGGTGGTTGCAACTTCACATAGGGACCATGGGTGAGGCCTCGTCTGGGAGGTGAAGGTTAATCAGAGACTTTAGGTGGATGGGCAAGGTAGCCAGAGCAACACGAGGCAGGTAACAGCATCTCAAGGAGGCCAGTATAGCTATATCCCTTGAACTTGACTCTGAGCACCCAGGGCACCCTGTGAGTGTGGCCAAGCCAGCCCATGTTCCCACAGGTTGTGGTTCTGGCTGCCGTCTCAGAACCCAATGTCAACCTCTCTGCTCTCACCTTTCAGATCACAGAATACTTAAATGCCCAGGAGTCAGCCAAGAGCGCCCGGGTGAGTTTTTGCCTTGGGAGCCCCTAGAGCCTGCCAAGTTGAGGGGGCTCGGCCCTCTGGGTGCTGGTGGGTGGCCCCCCATCCCTGAAGATGCATGTTTTATTCTGTCCCACAGCTGAACCTGTGGCGCTACGGAGACTTCCGAGCTGATGATGCTGACGAGTTTGGCTACAGCCGCTGAGGGGGGCGGCACAGCTGGCCCCCAGCCCTGCTCACGCCAGTCCCTCTTCCTGTGCTGGGAGAGGGGTGCACCTGCAGACCCCAGGGCCAGGGGGTATAGAATGGGTCCTAGCTTTGCTTCTTTTACAATAGCATCAGGGCTGGCAGGGGAGGGATGTGGCCCTCTGCATTTGGAGGACAGGCCATCATCCTCTGTGCACCGTCATGCACAGCCTCCTCCCAATTGATTCATATTTTTATCTGGGGGTTTGTAGGGTTTTTGTTGTTGTTTTTTGTTGTTTTTTTTTTTTTTTAATTGTCCTCAAATCAGGAAGAACCCTGGAAGACTTGGTCCTGGTGAGGGCCAGTCCCGTTCCCTGCCTCTGTCCCAGCTCCCCTTCTTTCCTAGCTCTATCAACTGTTGGTTTCGTGACTTCTTAGAAATATACCCATTCTCAGCTGTCAGTGTGTCCATTCCTATCCCCTCACCAGCCCATTGTGTATTTAAAGCTTTTAAGGCCCAATAAAGTAGCACATGCTGTCTGCAACCCTTGCTGCTCATGGTCATGGTGTAGCCCACACCTGGGGTCTTGGCAGCCCCTCTGTGCCAGGAGATCTAGCCACTGGAATGACTGCCAGCCAGGCACTTCTGCAGAATGCCAAACAACTCCAGGGCCCGGTAGGTGTCCGGTGGCACACAGCTGCCCTCAAGGACCTTGGAGGTTGAGAGCAGCCAAACCCACAGTGCCCAGGTCCATTGCCCTGCCCTGAGTGTGTGCACGCCTCCTGCCTTGGAATGGGGCTGCCTGAGGCCCAGCAGGGCCCCAGCAGGAACCAGCTGAGGGAAAGGAGATGAGTGCCCTCGAGCTGCTGGTGGCTGGCATCAAGTGGACTAAGACTTGGGGTGTCCTCTGCTGGACCTCGGGGCTGGTGGGTTGAGCTGCTCTGAGAGCAAGCCAAGTCCCCAGCAAGCAGAGTCGTAATGCATTCTCTTTGCCAATGCTCCCTAGCTCCCAAGGAAGGAGAGAGACCCCAGCTGAGCCCCTGTGGTATGCAGGGGCCCTGTCACACAGAAGGAGTGTCAGGGAGAGGGCATCTATGTGATGAGGTCGCCATGATGGCCAGCCCCTCACATCCCCTATAGGTGCCTGCCTGTGGTGCTCTCCCTGCCAGGCATGTGCCCTGAGACCTGCAGGCCCTGCCCTAAGCTGTCTGCTGCAGGACTGGCCCTAGGGCCTTGGCCATGAGGAAGTGGGTGAGGCTTCCCATTCTCGTCCCTGAGCACCCAGGTCCTGCCCACACACACTGGTTCTGGCCAGTTTTCAGTTAGGCCTCCGCCCAGGTGAGGTGTGTGCTTCTTAGCGCCGGAGTACACCAACTGAGGTGTAGGGCAGACAACTGTGGAGGGATAATGGGGAGAACTGGTTGCATCAGCTCCACAAACCAGTGTGCCTTGTTTCCTTTGGGGCCTCACAGTTTCTCCCCGCAGCCCCTCTTCACTGCTCAGAGCCAGTGCCTGCAGCCTTTGCCTCCAGCCCCCGCCCCCGTAGAGTCTGCGGCCGCAGCTGCTCGTGGGGACCGGAAGGTGGCAGGAGTGTGGACAGTGACATGGTGTGAGTCCCTCCTTCATCCCACCTCCTGGAGCAGCATACTGTGTCCACAGGCTCACTGTGTTTTATCCTTGGAGACTGGAGCACCCATGTGCCCCGTTCCTTTACGTCCAGCGTGTTCCTTGCTAAGGCCGCGAGGCAGGTGGATGTGTATTCCCAGCGAGTGCATGCAGCACAGGGGCAAAATGCCAGCCCACTCTTTTGTCAAAGGGCCTGAAATCATCTCACTGTCTTCCCAGTTGCCTTGGTTACATCTGTGCCCAAGGATAAACCCTCCTTAGTTTTTCCAATGGAAATTACGCCCGAGTCGCCCCACTTCTTATTTTTCTTCTCTTCCAAGGCTGATTTAGACAAAGGTCGGAGAAGTCATCAGGCAGGAGGGCGCCGCTGCTGCGTGTGCAGTGGTGACCCCAGCGTGCTGATCCCGCCTTCACTTTTTAGTTCCTCAGGTTTGTCCTGAGCAGGGCCAGACCCGGCATTGGGCAAGCCACACACCTGCTATGCAGAAGTAAGGCACTCACAGAGCAAGTGCGTGCATTGGCCAGTCAGCACCAGCCCATGGGGCCAGGGAGCTCTTCACTAGCCCCCTGCCCCGCTGAGGCATGAAACTTGCTCCTTGACCTCAAGACTTGGGCTTCGCGTCCTCATCCACCTTCCCAGTTGAACATCAGGATCTCCCCCAGCACCGGTTATCCCCTAACTGTGCACCACCCTGCCGCACAAGAGCAGGGAAGGGATTCAGAGCCATGTGACACGAGTGCAGCTTTGGGTCTGCTGCAGAGGCAACAGCAGATGCTGCAGCATTGGTGGCAGTGCCCTTGGATGTGAACGGGGCTGAAGCCCTGGAGGCTTCCCAAGGGAAGAGGGAAAAGCTGGGGCTAGCAGCTTTAGGAAAAGCAGGAAAGCATTGCTCATCTCAAGGCAGATTTTGGGAGTTTCCAGGTCTCTGAGGGCCAAAGCATCTGAGTATAGTCCATGGGGCAAACCATAGGAAAGTCACGATGCCCAGGAGCCTCCCCCTCCCAGCAGCAGCCCTCAGCTCACAGACCAGACCGGCAGGGAGAGTGGCAGTGGAGGAAAGGGCTTCTTGGCTGCCTTTGCTTTATTTATTGGTTTGATTATCTGCACGTCCTGCAGAGTGAGCCGATGGACCCCTTTCCTTGCATTAGGTCATGTTGAGAAATAATAGGGAGGGGCCGGAAGACTGGGGCCTCAAGAGTGGTTATTGATGTCCTAATTACAAGAAGATGCTAATTTAATTTGAACCTAATTACAGTGCACTACCCTGGGTGGCATGTGTTTTAATAATTAACGTCCTTCAGATGCGTAGGAGTATAATAATATTTACACTAGCTTGGCCAGCAGCCTGGGGAGGCGGGCTGGGGGCGCATATGCCACCCTCCCCACCCCGGGCAGCTTGGCTGCTGGAAGGTGGGGAAGATGGCGCTTGAGTCTTCTGCACTTGGATCTTGTCCTCCTTCCTGAGGAACCTGGCCCAGGCCTCGTTTCCAGCTACTTCCCTGACCCAGCAGACCACGTGGCTCCATGGGGTGCCAGGCTGGAGCTGGGAGATGCTTCCAGCACAGGCAAGCAGAAGCAGCTGTAACTCTGTCATTGCCTGTGCAGCTGGGTTCAGGCAAGTCTTGTTGAAATGGGCTCTCGGAAAGGGGAGCTGTGTGGTTTCTCGTTGCCTTTGGTGGGAAGGGATGGAGGCAATGTTCATGAGGAGATGGACAATGAGGGAGTGCCCGGCTCGGGTCTGCATGGTGAGCTTAGCCATGTAAATTCAACCTACACATGCACACACCCGTGCCCTCCACCACTGCTGTCACCCGCACATCAGTCTCCCCTTGACCTCTTTCCCAGCAGATGGGTCTTGTTTGTTGGGCTTGTATGTGTTTATTTTTGTCTTTCTGTTTTGCACAGAGATGGCAAATGCAACACCCTTGGTGTGGCTGCCCCCTGGCAGTCAGCATGGGTGTGGACTTTGCCTGCGTGGTTCCATTGGTAGCCATCTGCTCTCTGCTGGGTGTCCCAGCGTGTGGCTGTACCACACCTGCCTGTTAGAAAGCAGTGGGGTGCTTAGCTGTCTGCTAGAGCTAGCACTGTGCCAGTCCCTAACAGAGAAATCTGCATGTCCTAATCATGCCGCTGGGGACAGAATGTGACTCAGAGAAGTGGTGTCCGGGTGACAGGGGACGGTGGTGGCCGGAGACTGAGCACTTCCATGCCCAGCAGACCCAAGGGCTGCATGGTTACCAACACGACAGGAGCCCAGCAGAAGAGCCAGGACTTGGGAGATGTCCCGAGCAGTCTCCCCGGGCCAGCAAGACTGGTTTCTCCAAGTGTGGCTTTCAGATCCACTCCATCAGCATCACCTGGGGTTGCTCACAAACTATACCTTCCAGAAATGGTACCAGAACTACATGGGGCAGTGGGGCAGCCAAATTCTCCCCTGTCTAACAAAGGCATGAGCTCATTGTTACCTAGCCATCAGCAGTCATCAGAAGATCAAAGCCAGATGAGTGTAAGTGGTGGCCCGCAAGTGGCACCCCTGCAGAGGGGGGTCTGCCCTGGATATTGCCCTATGTGCTGCCTTTAGCTTCATCCTGTGGGAACTCGCGGTCCAGGTCATGAGATCCGGGACCTCAAGAAGCTCTGAGGGTGATTGCGGTGAGCTCTTAAGTTTACAACGTAGCCACCACTGCCCAGACCCCTTCTGCCAGATGAGAAGGGACACCAAGTGGCTTGCTCAAGGTCACCTGCTTGAGGATCCATCTTGGTGGGCTTGTCCATGGGTCCTGCAAAGGAGCTGGGGTCCTAGGCTCAGTTGAGGGACGCCAAGGTGTCCTTGCCCAGGCACAGGGGATGTGGTGCCACCTGCCACAGGCCCACATCCTGTCTCAGTTCCCTCAAGTTGGGCAGAATCACTGCAGGAGCTGGCATGTGTCAAAGGGCAGCTGTTCCCACTGCCCTGACTGCAGCAGCAACTTTCCTTAAGTTTGTACTGCTTTTCCTTCCCAGAATAGGAGTGTGTCAGCCCTGCACCAGCCAGCCTGCCCTTCCAAACATTCAGCCATTAAGATTTCCTAAGAAGCTGGGAAAGGGGAGAAAGAATCCTGAACTTCCTCAGGAGGCTCACAGACTACTGAGGACAGAGGATTCTGTGCCAACAGCTTGGCCAGATGTATGTCCCCTGCTCCAGCAAATCCCTTCTGGTTTTGTGGCCAAGGGCTGCTTGCACACGTGTGAAGACACAACCAGCAGGCACCATCCAAGCATGAACATTGCAGCTTTATTCCTTCTGCTAAACTAGAAAACAGCAGGTGGCTAGGATAGCCACCCAATAGGGAGAATACTACTCAGCAATGAATGTGAGATAGAGACTCTTAGGAATCCTGTTGAGTGGATCGGATGCATCTTAGAGGGCTTGTTGCTTAACACCTTGCTTGTGACGTTGCTTAGATACAGTCTTGTGATTCATTGTGTAGGTTGGGGTGTGTTTGAGAGTGAAGGAAAGCTTAAGTCCTTACATTTGCACCACAAACCTCAACTGGCACAACTTTGATGAGTAAGGTGAAACATACAGATGCTCTACAAATACAGCACAAAGGCATGGGGGCTGACAACCACCATGCCAGCATCTCGTCATCAGTGCTGCTTCGAGTCCTGGCTACGCTGCTTCCGATGTGGCTTCCTGATGAGGTGTGGCTGAGAAGCCAGTGAAAGCTGGCCCACGTGCCTGGACGTCTGCCTCACCCAGGGAAGGTCCGGATGGAGTTCCTGGCCTTGGCCTGACTTGGTCCCATCTGGAAAGTAACCCAGCAGATGGAAGGCAGTCTCTGTCTCTCCTTCCCACATCCCTCCCTCTCTACTCTCTGCTGCTCTGCCTTTCAAATAAGTTAAGTCATACAAAAATAAAATGCAAAAACAAAGGG